GGACTATAACGGTATACTAGTACTAATCATTCCGGCACTTATATAGTAAAGGCCTTAATAACAAGAGACGGGGGATGGATGGACACTATGATATAGTTATACAAGGGGCTATCATAACTAACCTTTCAGACCCCTATATCACTTCAAGCTCTGGTTCTTTCGGGAGAACCCTAGACCCTAAACCCTAAAACCCCAACAGGTTTTGACTTCTGAAGCGGCTGTTCCTGACCCGAAACCTCCAGGATCAGCTTGCAGGTCTGGGACATGCTGGGCGGCTCAGGGTTGGTGTAAGTTGGGTTTAGGGTTTAGGGTTTAGGGTTTCGGGTTTAGGGTTTAGGGTTCAGAGTTAAGTTGAGTTCTGAATACCTTGGTTGGGAAATTGTAGACGCACGACCCAACTGGGCCCTGGTAACTCTACTGGCAGACGGAGTCCCTTCAATTTCGGTGTAGCGGTCTACGAACTGGCACAACTCAACGAACTGGAACAAGGCAACCGCCGGATCCTGCACACTGACGAAGTCCTGCAGGTTTACAGTATAGTCAAAACAAGAACTATAGGGGACTAAGTCGGACTAAGCCGCTTTTATTTATTCCGAACCTTGCATTGCACTGCCTCCCCCTTTGCCTGAGCCCGAACACAAACTGCAGCCTGTGCAGCTGCGGCACCCCAGAAGAATCACGCGCCCGCCGGGTGCAACAAGGCGTACGGCAGAGGACACGGCTGCAGGATGACCGGCTGCCTCTCAATTTTGAAACGACCAAAACGATACTGATAATCAGATCGAAGAAAGAAGTAGCAGTCGTCAGAGCAAGAGCAGCCGCAGCAAAGGACCCTAAACCCCTAAACCCCACAACCCTAAACCCTCAGAACAAAGACTTGGTCTCTTTCACAAAGGCAGGCCTCGAAGGCCAGGGAAGGAAGCTCCGCCCCTGGGTCCTCTCTGCGGCTCTTCGGGTTTTAGGGTATAGGGTTTAGGAACCTTTTACAAACACCCTAACTCTTAAAGGTGCCCTTTAAAGAACCCTAAACCCTTAAAGGAACCCATCTATGATTCTAGGGAATCATATGGTGGCACCCTCACAGAACCCTTAAAGGAGACCTTGTAAAGGAAGCCTTATAGAACCGTTACAGCGGACCCTTTTTGGAAATCTTAAAAGGGCCCCTATAGTTGCCCTTATAGGACCCTAAACCCTAAAACCTAAACCCTAAACTCTAAGCCCTAAACCCTAAACCCTCAACCCTAAGCCCTAAGCCCTAAACCCTAAACCCTCAACCCTTTTAGGAACCTTTAAAGAGGAACCCCTTTATGAGAGCTCCGCTTCGGTCCTTGCTGGCCAGCGTCTCGGCCAAGGACGCGGGGCCATCTGACGCATCCAGAACCTTCGGGTGTAGGGAGTGTAGGGTGTGGGGTTTAGGATTTAGAGTTTAGGGTGGTTTTGGGCAGGTTTAGGGCGTGTAGGGTCTTGGGCATTAGGGTGTGTACGGCTTAGGGCGTGTAGGGTGTGGGGTTTAGGGTTTAGGGCTTAGGGCTTGTAGGGTGTGGGGTTTAGGGTTTAGGGTTTAGGGCTTGTAGGGTTTTGGGTATTAGGGTGTGTAGGGTTTGGGGTGTGTAGGGTTTTGGGTATTAGGGCGTGTAGGGTTTAGGTCGTGTAGGGTTTTGGTTTAGGGCGTGTAGGGCTTAGGGCGCGCAGGGCTTTGGGTATTAGGGCGTGCAGGGTTGTGGGTATTAGGGTTTGTAAGGTTTGGGGTGTGTGGGGTTTTGGGTATTAGGGTGTGTAGGGTTTGGGGTGTGTGGGGTTCGGAGTGTGTAGGGTTTAACAAGTAGAGTCAGGAACCCCAAAAATGGTATTGGTAATTCTTTAAGCCCCTTTAGTAGACCCTCAACCCCTCAAGCCCCAAACCATAAAACCCCCAAAGTTCTAAACTTCCTATAATCAAGCATACGGCCCCCCTTCTTCCAAACCCTGAAAGTCTATCCCCAAACCCTCTCAGAACCCTTCCAAACCTCTCTCCGAGCCCTTAGAAGCCCTACACCTCTCCACCCCCCCAACCCTAAACCTTAAACCCTAAACCTTAAGCCCTAAGCCTTAAACCCTACACCTTAAACCCTACACCCCAAACCCTCCTGAACCCCAGGCGCACCATGTCCGCACCCAGCGCCGCAGCACGGCGCCGCCGCGAGGACGTGGCTCCCACAACGGCCACCCAGGCCCCTTTGGCACGCAGCACCTCTCTTAGGTTTAGAGCTTCAGATTTTAGGGTTTAGGGTTTA